TACAGTTATTATACATTATAACTAGTTATTAATGACACTATTATTTGCACTACATTTCTCAATTCTGTCACACTTTTATTCCCCGAGTATAAAATGACCTGTTTAACTCCTTCTTCTTTTACAACCTTAATTACACTGGTTTTTCTTACGGCTTTTGGGCAGCATTCTTTCTAAGCTGCTCTGCAAACTACCTCTCCTGCAGGAGTACCTCTCCTGAAAATACAGAAAAGACATAGAGACAGACAGACACAGACAGCCCTCCCTGTGGAAACAGATTTTGTATGAGAGGCAGGCAAGCAATGACACATGTCACAGTGTCTCAGGAACAGAAAGAAACTATGAGTTCTGTCCTCTGACCCAAACAGTTCTCACCCGAAGTGAAAGAGTACCTCACTTGGGAATGGGATGGTTGGTTGAATTGTGAAACATCTTTGCTGTTCTAAAATGTATCAGCAGAGAAAATTATTATAATGACTACTTCAAATGCACGGTCCATTTTAGTTTTGCTTCTCTCTCTTCTGCAGATTGGTCAAACTTGTTCAGATGGGCCTTTTGAGGGGAAGATGTGGGTGCCACGCACTGTGGCTACACCAGTGAAGTTTCTCAGGTGCACATGGAGAGCGCTGATCACACAGGTATCCTACCATGCACATGGGTCAGGCAGTAACCCAGCACACTCCCAACCTGTGGCACTCAACTCATGTCCCACACCAGCTCTGCTGGCTGAGTCCTAACAATCTCATGAGAAGAAGAATCCTGTGAAAGCTAACAAAAAACAAGGAGACTACAGAGAAGTGTGTATCCAAGCAGCCCACAGATGCTGTTAACAGCCTGTGTCTATACACAGCTCTGGTAACAAGCTCATAGTTCTGCTCAGAAAGAATCTGGAGAGGGCTTTGCTCCACTCCTCCAGCAGCTCTTCTGGCTGGTTGTACAGCAGAGCCAGCATAGACAGGGACACCCGAAGTCTGTGTGTGCTGCTGAGTCTCAGAAGAGCCCAGCTGGGCAGGAAAGCCGTGGAATATGTCACAAGTGTGCCTGTCAGTCTGCCTCATGGGATGGATGCTGGATCAACTCCAATGCCCCTAGGATTCCAGTCATGGGCATATTTGCTCTGTGCAAAGAGAGGACATCTTGACCTGGGGCTGCTCCCAGGTCAGACTGCACTCCTACTGTGCCACAAGACCAAAACCAGCACACAAGAGATCTGGCTGACAAACTAACATTGCAGAGTGACTACCTTTGTGCTTTTGCCCATGGAATGAAAGCACTGACTGAGTATTTTGAGGTAATCACTGAAAACCAAAAATTGCAAGGACAGATCATTTCCCTCAGTGGAAAAAGATTTATAATTTGTTACAGTAATTGTTACCAGCAAATAACAAAGCAGTACTTTTTGTGAAATTAATTATTTGCCTTTATTCAGGTTTTGGCAGCACTTGGTCACTTTCTTTGTTCCTCCTAAAAATTATGAATATTCTGTGAAAAATTTAAGAAATGTATTTTCTGCAAGATCTAGGCTCTGTTTTCCTGTAACAGTTATAAGCAGACAATTCCTTCAGTATGCCCCACATGTGCTGTAATTCTGTATCATGGAGTTTCATGAGGTAACCCTTAGAACTTTAGCAAGTTCTCATTTGACTATCATAGACCAAAGTAAAACTCAGGGCTAATTTTAGCATTTATTGGAATGCACTGCTGGAAAGAAAAGGTCAAATGTGCTCACAAGGAAGGCAGCACCAATTTGAATTTTTAGGTTGAACCTGTTTCTCCTTGCAACAAATGACACTTTCCTCCACCTACCCATGCCAAGCAGAATGAATCACAGCAGCAGCAGCTGTTTAATAAGAGGAGGAATTCTGTAAACACTTGTAATGTAAAATTTTCCCTTTCCCCAATAATATATTCAAAAGAGTGGTGTCCAGGGAGGAGAGAGGAACACAATGGCACAGCACATGTACTGCTGCCGATATCTCATACAGCATTCTCTGCCAACGTGAGATACTTACCTTCTAACAAAAAAAGAGCCAAAATGCTTTTTCAGCAGTACTAACTGCCCCTGCCCCAGTAAGAAAACTAGCTGCTCTGTTCCAAGTCTGTGGAGGCAGATGATAATGCCCATTCACCCTACTGAAATATCATCTTTCTGCACTTCTATTTGTTTAGAAGAATCCATCTTGCCATTCTAAGAGAGGCCTGGAGTTAGGAAAAATGTCTTTCAGTGATTTCTTTACACATGGTACCTGTACCCTTAAGAACACCACTTAAAAGGCAGACCCTATGGATTTGGAGAATGGTAAATTAGTTGCCTGTCTTTTGCAGCTGACAGATGACTTTCCCCTTTTTAACAATCTGCAAAAGACTGATATTATATATATTTATATATCTACACACACACACATATATATAAAATATATTTATGTATTTATACATGTATAAACATACAAATACCCACACACGAACACTCATATCTTCTCACCTGTATCTGCTAAGGGTGGGGTTTTTTCTGTTATAAAAGCATTAAAAACATTTAAATTCATAATCAAGAGCTTAATCATCTAGAACCCACATTTTGTTTCCATTTTAAATTGTAAGCAGCAGCTAAGAGCAAACTGATGAAATAAGAGAAAGAATTCAAAAGGCACATCATTCTCATGAAGGTGAAGAACAAAAGCAGATAAATATTGTGGCAAGCCCATGAATATCTGAATGTAGCACAAGGCAAGCTGTAGATGGTAAAGGAAAAGGATACTATCTCCATAATTTCTATTAAGCAAGTATCCCCTCCTTTCCCAGCAGTACAGTACCTCCCCAGGCAAAGTAAACGTATTTCTCTGGCAAAGGGGTGGCATGCAGACAGGTTCAGCTACCCTGAGGAAGCTGACATGGTCACAGCATCTGTGTTTACTTAAGGGGAAAGTGCTACCTCCCATTGAGGTCTTTCTATGGATAAGAATTTCTCTTTGAAGGGAGTGTGAAAAATCTGATAAAGCATTTCTTCCCATCTGAAGATTACCTGAGTAAGGGAGCACCAGCTCTGAGCTACAGCCTCACATTAAATTTTTGCTGGCTAGTCACAGAGAAGCTTCATGAAAAGCCTGGTATCTATAGGAGAGCTTTCCAGAGAAAAAGCCTTTTGGAAGAAGACACATCAGGACAGAGAAAAGCAGCACAGACAACATTATTAAAACCCCCTAAACTAAAACAAAAGAGTTTAAAATAGCCATATAATTGTTAAAAGTGAAGACCTATCTCACTAAAACGAAAGACAGGCTGGCTATTGGCAGGTGAGAAGGCAATCCCAAGTATGTTTCATGTCAAGACGCCTCTTAGATACACTTTCTTTTGGGTATTTCATCCAAATAAATACAGAAAATATTTATCTGCAAGGAATGAAAAATGTTTTAACTACATAAGCTTACAAATCTGAAAAAGAACTAGAGAGAAGAAAGTGAGACAAAAATAGAGGACTCAGAAGAATTTCTGAAATTTTGAGTTGCTTTAACAAATAGCTAAAAGAACATTCTGCAGGTTAGAGTACCACATGTTTCAAAATGTCCTATTCCTCCTTTGGCAGGACAACTAACCATATCATCACAGAGGCAACAATGAGGAAAGGTTTCATCACCTTTACTTTGAATGTCACATGTGCCAAGCATTAAGAAGATAAACAAAAGTAGGCAGGTGAAATGGTAAGTTTCAGTTTTGTACTAGCTATAATGTCCAGTTTGGGAATACTAAGTATTCCTCTCCCTCACAGGGAGAAAACAAAAATGGCCGGCATGTTTTACTCTCTCAATTTCTTTGGTACAAATGATAAAAAGGCAGTTAATTACTTAAATGCCACCTGAAATTTTTTGAAGCCTCAACCTAAGAAAGTTGATTTGGAAGAATAAATATTCTTTTTGAGAGGTTTGGAGAGAGCAACTCTGTTTTCAAAAGCATTTTTTTAATATTTAATGTTTATTAAATGTAATACAAAGAATATACATGAAGTTGTTATTCTCCGCTTAAGAAATACATTAAAATTCCTTGGATTGTATCAGATTTTCCACCTCAAAAGTAATTTCTCTTTCTCCTTTTCTCTCTCAAACGCTCCCAAAATATGTTAGTTACTGTTGATCAAACAGAAAACGTGATGTGCTTCAAAGCTGATTCTATAGACTATGTCTTAACATTCAACTAAAGGGAAAGAACACTCAGTTTACATCAGATCCAAATCCCTGAAGTAGTGCAGTCCCTCTCAGACTCGTCCTGAAATCTGTTGTTCTTGATATTATTGCATTTTCATATACAGTATTGACTAAGTATTTTTTTGGAGAAAAAAAAGGCTTTGCAGGAGTTCTTAAATATCCCAATGATGTTTTTATTATTTATTTAAACATACTTGTACATCACACAGAGCTTAAGAGCATGATTATAAAAAACAATCACTATCCCCCTTTTATGTTTTTTAAATCACAGAAGAGTTTAAGAGCTGAGCAACTTACGCAGAGGTGATAGCACTTAGATTTCTCTGAGGTCTTGACAATTCTATGTGTCTCTCAAATCCAATTCAATGCCGAGAATCACAAATGTCACCAGGCACAGATGCCCTATTAAAGTATCCCCATTTATCTTTCCAGAGTGCCTTTCTTTATCACATTATTTGATAGACTCTCATGTACAGGTTTGAACTGCCCAAATATAATCTCCTCAGCCCATTTTGTGCTTCTCACAACACAGAGCAATCACAGGGCCCATTTTTCCCCAAAACAAAGTCAGACCATCAGCAAAAGTCTATCAGATTGTGTAAGTATCAACATGTATATGTAAACAAAAGTCATCAGACCTTCGGTAAAGGCAGTTTTTTCCTTTAGTATAATAATGAACAGCTTTTGTGAGAAAAGTAAAGAGCCAACATGTTCAGCACAATACCCCTGTGTAAGCCCTTCAGAGATTAAACTACAACATCAATGTCTGCTACAACAGTACTTATACATAGTCAATTGGCTCCATGATTAGGAAATAACATGGTTTATTGCAAACAGTAGACTTCAAAAAACAGGTGTTTCGAAGTCCAGTTTGTTATGATTTTATTTAAACAAAACATGAGTTAAATGTTTTCATGCAACATCTGCACTTAAGTATTAAATAATCATGACAAACAGAAGTAAAGAACACACTAATTATAGACTTTGGTGAATATACAAAAAACCTCAGCATTATAGTTTATACAAAGTAAAGAATATCTTCAATACTTCCCCAAAATACTGCAGCAGCTGAGACACAGTGATATGCCTTGCAAGGGCATAGGAATGTAATTTAGAAATCACGTGGGAACTACCCCTTTCCTTTAATTTCACAAACAAGACAAAAGCAACATTCAACTCCACACACTGATTTTTCAGGTTATGTCTATGCAGTACCTTGAGTGTTATCAGAACAGTAAAAGTTAGACATGTTTATTTAGTAAACAATTATGCAGTAAATCTCTAGTACATTTCTTCCTTGGTATTACCTGGAGTAGCCATGTTATTTAAAAGTGGGCAGGTTTGGTACTTTTATACTGATGTCACCAATATTAATATTTCTTGGGATCTCTGGCAGATTCATATTCTTTACAGCTGAAACAGCCCGGGCTGGAGCTCCTGCTAAACCAGCCTGTATATAAAGTGAGGAAAAATGCAAGTCAGGCAAAGTTGGTCACAAGAAGATTCACCAGCAATATACACAACTAATTTTTCAAGTATTTCCATGGTTACACAATTAGAAAAACCACATGGTAATTGTGTTTGGAATGAAATGGGTTACTTGGAAATATTAAACCAGAAAGAGAAAACAGTTCACATACTCCTTTTTATATGGTAAAACATGTAATGTCAAATGGATGGAAAAGTATGAGAGGAAGGAACAGGAGGCTTATCCAAGCACATGTAATGTGCACATTATAGAACTGACAGTCTTGAGGTGTTGAGTGTCCAATGTGCTGCCTTTGTCTCTCAGCTATTCTAAAAGTTCACACGGTTCACACTTGACTAACATTGGTTACAGATTCAGAAGTAGCCTCAAAGTAACAAGGCACTCAAATGTCAGTCAAATCAATGGACACACACACACACACACACACACACACACACGTGTGTATCTATATACACATACAAATACATATATATATATATATACACACACATGTATTTCAAGGTGGCTTAGACTAAGATGAAAAGGATAAACACCCTGCATTTGTGGGTGATAAAGAGCATGCAGACAGATAATTTCTATGGACAAACTAGAATGATCTGTTGTCCCACAGTAACTAATTATACACTAACATATCTGCATCCCCTTGAGCATTACACAACACAATTATGCCAAATTAAACTATAAAATTAAACAGCACCTATTTTTTATTAAAGCCCTCTACTGCAGTCTCTTTGCACACAAAACTAGAGCCTTTCTGTATAAACATGCAAGTTTTACAACAGAGAATTACTGACTTGTGTTTAGTTATGCTTTTAGATAAAGTAGCTGCCAAGTTTACACATACACTGAGGTATATTATTGAATGCTAACCATTTACAGCTCAGAGGCCTGAAGACATACCAAAATTCATCTTTCCATATTGCTTCTGAAAACACCTATTCAAAACCTTGCTATTTTAAGAACTATTAAAACAAGACTAGTAAGTGTTACTACTATAACTGATATTGTGAAAAAAACATGCTATTCATTTTAAGTACAGAAATGTTCCTCCTAAAAGTCCAGATTCTCTATGTAGATTTAGAATTTGAGCTGTGGTTTTACTTCAGACTTGCCACAAGAGTAAAAATAATTTTTATTTTTGCAAGGGAAAAAAAAAGGCACAGAAGATTTTCAAAAGAAGAGCATTTATTAGGAAAAAAAGACATCATATTCCAAATCCTCTGAGTATGTAAAAATAATTAACTTTTATTTTGATGTTTTAAAAGTAAGATCAAAAATATTTAAAATCAATAAAAATCACCACGTGAGTTCCACATCTACTAGTTTGAGTGTGGCATCTTGCAGGTCCAGTAAAAAGGAGCAATCTATGAGAAACAAAGCAAGATGCTAGGAATTGGCTTTTTAAAAAGACTAAACCTGCAGAAATGGAAGGTCTTTAGGTTTGTCAAAGACTGAAGAAACCAGCCTATTTGCACACAAAGTATTTCTGAACAAGAAATACAGCAAACGAAGGAAGAAAAACTTTGAGAAGTTTGTGTCATATTTGATTATTAAAAAGTGTTGGTATGTATATACCACTCCAAGTATAACCTTGGTTTTCACTGAGATCCATTACAAGTGTAGGGTAAAACTACTGAGGAGTATATCTGACTTCCACAGTGTCCATCTGGTCTACTGCACAAAAGGAGAGAGACACCCCACACACAACCATAGAGCTGTATCTAGAGATAACAACTCTCCTTCTGGAAGGATATAAAAAAAAACATGAAGTCAAGTTAATGTAAGATTTTTCACTTAAAATCCTACCTACTGTTCTTCTTTCTCTCTTCAAAAAAATAATCCAAGCCAAAACAAACCGATTAAAGTTTCTGATTTTGAACTAACCATCTATGTGGAAAGGCTAAAGCATCTCAAATCCCTATATTTTAGTCATGGGATGATTCCCAGAAGAAGAAACAGAGACCAGAAAACTCTGAGTCATCTATTAACAGTATCTTCCCTGTCAAACCCTCCTCTGTGAGACATGCCAAAGTTGGGAAAAGAATGTGGGGGCAGAGAAAAAAAGCTCAGAAAACTGAATCTCTAATGTAACCAGATTTGCTCTCACTTTCGTCCTGACATAACCCAAATCATCAGTTCTCAGAAGTACAGACTAACTAAAACTTAAAAGGTGCAAAAAAGTATTTTTAAACCCTCTTTTTCCTTAATTTCCTTGAACATCACCAAGTCTATCAGGTCATTCAGTTCAGAGGCTTTTTCAATAGCAGTATATTCTTACAGGGGAAAACCTGGACCTAACACTAGCAATATTAAGAAATGCAAGTATCCAAAATCTGTATCCTTGAATCTGCAATAAATTAAAGGAGCAGTATTAGACCTTGCAATTTCTTTCTATTTATTAAAAAAACAGCACACATGGCATGAAGATGCCCAACACTGTCCTCTTACATCTAAGAACTTGGAAATACAAATTTTAAATCAAGAGGTAACTACCAGCAAAGTCATATTGGATAAAACAAAAAATGCTTTTAATCCTTTAAATTCTATTTGCAGTAATGGAATAAAAATTCATTAAGCAAAATGGGGCAATGTAAACTGTTTTCCATTGAGATGAAAATACTAATTAAAAGCAATGAATTATACAATTTACAACTGAAAGGGAAATCAGAAAAATATAGTAAGTAATGACATGATAGCACATGCTTGGCAATTCAAAGGAGAGGTGTCTGCTGGGTGACTTGGATGGAGATTCTTTACGCTAATTTAAGGGAAGTTACTTATTCTTAATGGAAAAATAACATTTTTAGTATAACTGGTCATTATTTTTACCTACCTGCTACTATCCCCTTTATACAGACCTACAGTCCCTGCCTCCCGCCCCAATGGCATAAGATACAATGGAGACACAATTGAGAGTTATTAAAAATACCACAATTTACATGACCACTGCCCTTCCACCCCCCTACGCAGTCATAGCTCCCAGCTTGGAGTCATGTTTCATAAGGACCATTCTGGATCAAAATCAGTGAAGATCCCTGACAAAACTGCTGTGATTGTCAGATTACCTATTTTTTTTTACAGACATTATCTTTCACTATCAGATGCAGGAGTAGAGATTTTCAAATTATTACATTCTCTTCTCCTGTAATCCTCTGTATTAAGAGGGTTTGTAGAATAGTGGATACATAAAATGCATAGCAGGATGCTGTTTATCACAATTAATGTCCACCCTACCAAGCACAATACAGTTACACAGCATTTCTAAGAGAGCAAACAGTTCACAAAAAATTGTCTAATGGATAAAGTGACTGAAAAGCACATTAACTCCAAAGCTGGATAACTAATAGAATTCAAATGCTATTATATTTGAACTCCTTAGCACTCCTTTTTAGCATGTTAGGCAGTGAACTAGTAGGCAGTCCTTCCATTTCTTTTCCTGGAAGTGAACTGTATTTACAAACACAAACGTACAGCAAGTAAATACTTTCAGCCCCATGTGCTTTCGAGGCATTTTCTAGAGGCACCAGATTAATACTGCTTTCACTGTAATACTCAACAAGCTACACCTGCCTTATTTATCATATAATTCAGCAGGTAAATTGGTGATGTGCAAAGAAAAACCTGTTCCACTTGAAAAAACAAAACATGTAGCAAGCATTAAACATGCAGTGAATGATGAATCGTCTATCACAGCAAGCAAATGACTGAAGCAAAGTGAAACTAAAACTTCTTAAGACATAATTAATGCAATTTCAGAAAGACAATATGAATTGCATACAGTTGGTATAACAATAAGCCAATACAACACAGTTTTGCTGCAGCTCCTTTGTACTCTCAAATTTCATTTCTTGTTGAAGGATGTGCTTTAATGTTGAAATGCTGCATATTAAAATTTTAGGTTCCATTATTGCAAAAAATGCTCGTAAACATATTCATATACTTCTAAAGAGCAATACTATATATGCAAAAAGACACTATTTCATAGATTGAAATGGACACATTTAATAACAGGATTTTTACTCTACTGGTCCTAATCTATCATGTGAGAAACATAAGCTGTCATTAATTTACTTTGGTCATGATTAATCACTACGGAAATCTATTTTCTTTGTTCTTATCATCACCCTTTCTTAGAAAGCCCAACTGGCAACTTCATTTCAAAGTGATCCCAGCAACCTTGTTTTACTCTTTAAAAAGAAATGCAGATCATTTGGGAAAAGTCTTGCACATCACACACAATGTTAATATGCATATACAAATAAAAATGTTCCAACTGTCATCCCAAATAACTCTACACAGAGCTAGCTAGCACTAAAATAAATATATAGAAAAAACACAACCTACTGGAAAACAAAATAATGAAGGCTAACACTGCAAAATAAGCCACCCTTTTCCAGATACTTCAGAGGTACTAGGACCTCTCTGCTGCCGGTGTTTCACAGCAATGCTTTTTTTCAGAACAAGTATGACTTCAAAGCAGCAGGGATATGAAATCATGAAAGGATGCAATACATAATATAAAGGAATGATCATGTCCCCTGCTCATGAGGTTAAATAAATGAACATAATTAGAGAAAAACCAAAATGAAGTCTGCAAGTATATCAAAATGAGGCCAAACAGATAAGAAGACTTAAGACATACTCTTAGAAATTTTAAGCACTTGAATCACAAAAGGAGTAATGGATGGGAATGATTAATTATTTCTTTGTTTGTTTTTCATTGCCAGACCCAAAAATAAAAACAATATGTGTGAGCAGAACACAGAAAAAGAAAAGTAGCTTTGAACAAAAAGAAAAAGAAAAAGAAAAAAAACAAACCAAACCAAAAAAATCTGAGCTCAAGCTCCCTAGTGTTACCAATGAAACACAGACTATATGTTACAAGTGTTAGTTAACATACTAGGCAGAGGAAGGCCACGTCCTTGATGTTCTTCATGTGCTGTAGCATACTTCAAATGTAGGTTAAAATGTTGCATGTTACCAAAAAACTATTTCTAGCTAATGCTTTTACAACTCAGTGTTACTAAATCCAATTGCGGAGTTACAGTTGTTAAATCTTATCGGTATTGCAGTACACTATATCCTAGGAAGATCACATGAAATGTAAAGAGCAAAGCTACTCATAAATTAAATAAATTTCAACTGCTTAAGATTCCACCTGTTTAAAATACCTGCAGTTTGAGTACACAGAGTTAAAACAAGTGGAAATTAATTCTGAAGAATTGCCATTAACACTGACTGACATTCAAACTGTTGAGCTAAACTAAATGTTTCAAACAACAAATGCCAGGTGACATTGACCATAAACTGAATTTCAAACATATAATTTCCTTCTCCTTTTTCTGTTCTTTGTTAACATTCATGTTCAGGGACTGCAGTTATCAGGATATCTTAGAGCAAAATCCAAATATTCAGATTATACTGACAGCAAATGTACGTCTGAAGTTGAGTACATGCTGACAGCCCTTCTCATTCTATGTTCAACATACTTAAGGCTGGATGACCAACTTCAGAATTTCTACATCATCTTTACAAATTGCACTGATAATTTCATTCTCTCTATACAGAACTATTTCAGTTGGTTTTGGTGGTGGGATTTTTAACATTTCATTAAGTTTATTTTGGAACTTCTCTTTGCAAGCAGGTAAAATCGCTTTTATCCGGAAATACTAAATGGTGAAGCAAAAGAGTTCACATTTTACATTCTACATATTTTAGATTATTAGGGACAAAATTCTTCCAACAAAGAAGTTATTTGTATAATGTCATCATATCTTGTTATCTGTGTGTACATTTTTTATTGATAATAATTTTGCAGGGGTTTTTGGCTAATATTCATGCAAGTTCATACTCCCTTGCTTAACAATGATACAAAGAAAAGTTAAATTCTAAAATGCAGGAAGAGAAATAAAATAAAAAATATGATGTCAATGAAAAGCTAGTAAAATACACTATAGCCAATAAAAAGATGAGGGAACTACAAGAAACTAGCACAAAAAGTAGGCTACAAGGACTAGTATGGGTATTTTTACACATAATTTTTGAGTCTGGCCTACATAATTTATTGCCTTTGACATCATTTTGCTTTCCCTTTTTGTTAAAAGTACATTTTTTTCTAAAAGTCAGCAATACCTTTGTCTACCTGTCCTGTCTGGGAGACTGAAAGATAAAGGTCTGTAAGAGAGAAGAATGGAAAGAGCCAGAAAAGATCAGGAGGTTCAGAAAAAAATGAGGCCCAACTTAAAAGTCTAAATCACACGCAGTTGAACTCTCCAAATAGAGAAGAGGTAGCCCAGGTTTACCTATAATACTTCCAGAAGCTCTGAATAAAATCCCCATGACCCCTCTCCCAAAGAATTCCCTCCCTTTATCACCATAATTCTTTGGTTTTAGGATTGACCAGAAACCCATTCACAGAACAACACTAAACTGAAAGGCAGGGAAATAAGGCATATAAGACAACATTGCTCAGGGTACAAATAGTTTCCTTTGTAGCCCATCCAGACAATATTAGCTGAATCACAAATCAAAGCTAGGGACTCCCTTATACTGGTTTAATTAATCTCTGTTGAAAATATGAACAAATTCCTTGAGGTGGTAACTTTGCTCAAATATATGTGAATTTAATACGTTCAGTCTTTTTCACTAAATTCTAACAGAAAGCCTGTTTAGAAACCTACTGCAAAACTAAACAAATACCTGACACTAAATAGCTACATTTTGTATATTACTGAAAGCCAGATGGGCACAATACAAACTTAAGTATTTCTGAAAATATAACCCAGTTACAGCTTTATTTGCTTCATTGTTTCTATATAAGCTATAAAAGAAAAGGCAATTTAACCTTAAGATAGTTGCTTTGTAAATGCAAGAGGTATAATGGTGGTCTAAAAGCCAAAGGGACTAAAGCAACAGTGTTGTGGGCACAGGTGGCACTCCTATAAACTCGGGACTACATCAATAATAATTTCTGTTTTTTTTTTTAATTGAAGGAAACTAAGAAGATCCACTAGTTTTGGTTTCTCAGTGACCAGAATTCAAAATTTATTAAGTTATTATTTATTTTGATTTATGTGGATTTGTTTGTGTCTTGAAAATATGTGTTCAGGAAAGACATACTGAAAGATCTACAATCTTTATCGAAGAAGACAAAAGGAAAAGAAATAGCAATCAGGAAGTGTCTGTGGATATACATGAAACAAATTATTAATGATGTAAGGAAATAACTACCAGGTATTGTGACATATCACAGCATTGCAGTAACTGTTAAATTTGAAAACAGTCACTGAACTAAAGAAAAAGAAAGTGTTTGTGGTGAGCAGACTGTGAAATGTTCTGCTTCATCCCAGTCACCAAGTGTTTTAATTTATCACTGCTACTTCTTTATCTTCTATAATTCACTGCTGAATGTAAAGGAACAAGTTTCTATTTGCTTTGCATACACTTCAAGTTCTATGTGTTTTTTTCAGATCATCTACCATCTACTTTTATACTAAAAGCTCTTAATAGAAAGAATGACTTACTAATGAACAATGGAAGACAGCAGGTATTGCTGCTGGGTGCAGTGAATTGATGTGTTTCAGAAGACTAGTCAGAGATTAGTTCACAGTTGAGTTGGTAACAGAATTTACATAATCAAATGCTTTCAGATTAAGCCAATACATACACAATACATGGTAGAACACAGCTGCTCGGGAAGTTCACTTTTTGGGAACACGGCTGCTTTTCTATCAAATAAGGAAAAATGTATGTATACAGAAGTTATTTAAACATAGTAAAAATTTATGAGAATAACTCCAAATATTCATCTCCGTGATCAGTGCTTCATTCTGAGTGTGAGAAAAACATTAAAATTAACACTTTGGACATCTTCAAGGTCTGCACAGAATCCTTTCAGATGTATATTGCTATGTACTGTGTAATATCATACCTAGCTTTTTCTTATTTTTCACGTATTGTTGTCCTATTCTTGGATATTGTTTGGGAATTGTGCAAAACAATTAAATGTATTTAAATAATGGAGATGGCACAGCTTGAGACTGCAGAATCAGAAGAACAGTACATGCTGTACCACAAAAAAAAAAAAAACTGAAAAATTAATTTCTCTCTTTATTGCACTTCAGTTAGAACGAAGAAGTTCTCTAGGTCCTCTCCTAAAATGCTGTTTAGTTCATATTTATGCCACCTGGAAGATTTCAGTCTACTCAGCTGACCTCACTTTTAGAAAGTCTCCAATTCAAGCAAAGGCTTGTTCAGAAACTTCGATACTACTGCTTTGATGTACTCTGTGGAATTACTCTCATCATTTAGAATTCAGCACAGACTTAGCTAACATTTATTAGCAGCATTTTGGCTTACACATATGGTGACATTAAAGGGACAGTAATATTCTGTATCAAATATAAAGTCACTCTAAGATCTTTTCCTGATTTAAATGTCTTTACTAAACACAAATTCAGTAACTGTTGAATTGAAAAAGGATTCCCACAACTCATGTGTGATCTCTCACTCAGCCTCTTATGGGCAAATACAGAATATTTTCTGTAGACCAAAGGTTCAGATTATCAAAATTTCTTAATTCATATTTACTTTGAAATGTCTAAAACTGGGCTTTAAATTCTATTCATTTCAGTCCAATTTATTTTCTTGTACTGCAGTATTACTGCTGCTATTTATTTCAGGTGCTTATAAGCATACTATCAGATAGAAGTATGTAGTCTTTGAAGACACACTTTGTTTCTTTATCTAATTTTATCTAACTGCTGAAGTCACTAGTCCAGCATAACCAGTAGGCTGGAAATAAAAGGTTTTCTACAAGAGAAACTTAGAGAACTACAGAAGTATCTTAATAGCAATGGTGCACAATGCTATTAGATACAAAAAGCAAAATCTCATCAGCAGCGACTAAGCAGTTATTACTTATGATGAAAGGTACAACACCCTCAGATACAGTGCAAATTTCTGGCACTATAAGCAGGCAGCTTACAGTATTTATTTTGTTATGAAGGACTAAGAGTGTTACATAGCATGCATTTACTACAACCCTTTTTTCAGTTTAGAAACTACACACTGCATCACTCTTACCTCAGATTTCTCCAGTTTATTTTGAGCATCAATCTGAGTGACAATTTCATTCATATTGGTCTCCAGAACCATTCCACCCATGACCATTTCAGCCAATATATTATGGACCTAAAAGAGACCGAAAGAGAATTCAAAAATGCAAAATATCCTCCATACAATCTGGAAAGATAGTCTAGGTACCTCAATACAGGGAAACACGTATTCTGTAAGTCAGTTAATGTTAGCATTTAATCTAAAGCCAGTTGGGAACAAAGCTCATAATTTCCTGTTTCTCTCTCCGATACCTTCTTTGTACACAGCTCTGTTACAAACTCATCTGCTCTACCACTCATCAATACTAAGCAACTTCCACATTCCTCCTTCTTTGTTCCCATTTTCCATCTAATTTTTAAAGTTCAAAATAGCACCAACAGCAGTAACACCTCTAGGAAACAGGTCCTGCAAGACTAAACAAATTGCTCACAAGTAGATGTCTAAATGCTACTTTGAACTACAATTGAGAAGAAAGAGATTCTGATGCTCACCCAGCACAGATCCCAAGATTTGGCTCAGAAGTAAAATTGACATTTGTGTGATACCAGATAAATATGGAGTCTTCAGAATCTACAGCTAAGACTGACAGCTAGGACTCAAACTGCAGGAGCACATAAACCAGGTGAGGACATTACTGAAATGGGTATTTTAAAATATCCCTCTTCCCTGAAGCCCTGACTTGAGGATGTCTCTTCCCTTGAAAGCCCTGGTTCATGAAGCACTGCTTCAGAGTCTGCATTCAAAGCGTATTAAAGACTTGTTTCGGTTTTCTTTTCTTTTTTAAAAGGGATTCTTCTGCACACTTACTAGTAAAAGTCCAGAGTTACCATGCAATGTGTAATATTTTAATCCCATAATACTATTTAAATCTGAAGACAAGGAGCATTTTTCTACTTTTCAGAAATAAACATGTGGAATCTGGTATCTCAAAAGCCTAATTCTAACTACTAGTTTGGACATTGTCCCAGTTTCCCCATGGATCAAGGATAGAAGTAAATCTCAAATAACCCAGAGTTAGTACATCAAAATCCAACAGAGTTCTTGGTTTTGTGCCATACCTCAAAAACAAAGTTGAATTTGTTTCCCTGATAAATTTTAAGTGCATTTCTGTACAAATATTAAATTAATGAATCTAGAAAGGCTGAAAACAGCTCTTCTTCAGACCCCTTTGGGCTCTTCCAAAACCTTTCTTTCTATATACTTTTTACTCCTTTGCCTCTCTAGAATATGTAACTTCTTCCTTTAACTATACCTTGGGTCATGCTTCTTACCTTTCTCTGAATATTTTTGTACTTTCAGGATGCAATAGTGAAGTCTAACACAAAACATTTAAAAATGTTCAGAGTACAGATGGCTTTAAAGAAGCTTGACTATTCTTTGTTGCCCCACTTTTCTTCTAAAGGGCATGGTTTTCTTAATAACAGCATATCATTAACTTTAATTGGTAACCTGCATATGCAAGGAAATCACTGCTTTGACTACATAAACTATGCAACTATCGTAATCCATTGATTCCCTCCTCTTAAATATATATTTGGTTGTATGCAAGCAGCAGCAAAACAAAAATAAACAGTAACTGTTTTTCTTTTCAAATTGCAAATTCACTGCAAATATATATATTAAAAGTACAAATACACATTACTGTCTCTATCTTTTCTTATTTAAAAAATCACTGATTATTTTCCTAATGAAACAACAAAACATCTTAAATAAAAACACATTAAGTAGAAATGAAGTGTGAAAGACACATCAATAGTGTATTCAAAATAGTACTTAAGTGACGGACTGAAGGCACAACAAATAGACATCTTATATTCCAAAAGGGATCTGACTGCTGAGAACACCAACTTTTTAAAAAACCTGAAACTGCTGTTTTGCAGTAACAATTTTAAGTGCTTTTACAAAAATCAAGAGTGTTTCCTATTTATGTTTGATACACTCTCTAAAACCATGAAGAAGAATGTATCAAGGAAGGAATGTATCAAGGAAAAATTCTCTCAAGAAAATTTGTCAAACACATTTTCTTGTCTTCAAGAAATTTGATTCTGGATAGTTCAGTGTTCTGGTTAGATAATAAACTCTTGCAAGAGATCATGATACTCCCAGAGCTATTCCAATAGGTGCCAAAAACTCATGAAAAAACACGAAGTATTCCCTTACATCCCTAGCTGAATGCATTCTATTATTTTAGTTGTATAATAGCTTTCAGTGATGCCTTTTCCATCAGAAAGCATTAGACTCTTGGACTCAGTGTGGGAACCAGTGAAAGACTAAAACAAACCTACACCTCCTCCTCACAAGACATGTAAAAATGTCTTGCTCCAGCTACAGCAAGTTTTTTGTCTGCTTGTAGTACAGATGATCTTTTAAAGGAGAAGTTAAATTTTCTCCTGTACAAACTACACTCCAATGACACCCCAAGTCCTCATCTGCTATAGCATATTAGAAACACTCATTCCCATCTATATTCCACTCTCCAAAGAAATTTCTCATACTGTATCAATATTCTTGAATAAGCATCTGTCTTGGCTCTAGGTTACTATAGTCACTGCTGAGTCCTGCATGATTATTAACACCTGATGAACAAAAATATTTCCTTACAGAAATACCACATAAAATGTTACTAAGGAGGCAACAGCTGTTGAGATTACATAGTTTAACTATTCTACATTTCACATCATCTTTTTACAAGAAAAAAATGTTGGTTTAGGCAGCTCTCACAAGAGAATTGCAAGAAAGCAACCTCCCACAGCTCCATCAAGAAGTGAAGACACAAAACAGCTCTCATTCAAATAATTTAGCCAATCCTCACTTTTCTCAATACCAGACCAGTCAAAATACAAATATTTCAAAGGTTTCACTCCAAACAGCACACACAAATAAGCACCCAATATAACTGTCAAGATCAAACAGGAGCAGTTGCTGTTTTTCCCTTTTGCACACTTGAAATATATTAACAAGCCAGGCCACAAATATCTGGCAAGAGAAAGTTCATGCATTAACTGTGAAGGCTCAGTGCACTATGCTTCTTGACAAGGTTACCTTATCAGCAGTTTAAAGACAATTTAGCAGTCTAAATTCTCACTTCTCAGACCTACAATAATACTGATGAACTTAAACTGGAGAGGGGAAAAAAAAAAGGAAGAATGGAGAGGACATCAAATGAGTCACAGCTGCACAACTAATGCTACTGTACAGCTGGTGGCAGTCTTGCATTACTACAGAAGTTCATGTCTTTATATTGAATTATTTTGTTCATTTACACTCAAGTTAAAAATCACTGTATTGGTTAATGTCACATTCCAAGTTTTTTAACTCAAGGTTTCACTGACTTCTGTTGTGAAAATGGATTTTTACTAAACTATCTAATTAGTATTTACAGTTCCCATTCTCCTCAGAGTTTAAAAATTCTAGTCATTTAATAATTTAATGGGATTCTCAGCAGATTTTTAGTAAAACAAATGAAACAGTTAACTTCTAATGTCCATTTGATATGTAATTTTAAAGAAGGAATATAATCTCATATCCAATTAAAATAAAATAGTCTTTGAGAAATTCAACATTTTGAAGCACTTAAGTTCTCTACATATTATTAGAAATATTTTGTCTGTCAAGTTATGTTAAGCAATACTCTTTAATAAAACATGCTACAGAGCAACAGCTTGGAGTACATATCAGCCAAAGCATTCTTCGGCTAAAGATCAAGCTCCTTTGCACAAAATGACTGCATTACTTTCATTCTTTAAGCTCAGAAGCCAATATATAAACCATTCATAAACTCTTCTGTACTTTAATCTGTTGTTTTGGAAATATCCAACATGTTCCACTCAAGGAAATTACTAGAAAACCTAATGACTTTTCATGACCCAAGTATTGGTTATACACTCACTCTAGGTAATCTGCATTTCACTCTCTGGTCAAGGTGCAAGTGTTTCTTCCAAAAGAACTTTCTGATTTTGAAACAAACTGAGTCAATCTGAAATAGTTCTTTCAGATACCTGCCTTGGTATTATTTTCAGTCTACTTTTTCTCTCCTACTTTTTTTTTGCATCTTTTGCTGCTGATGCAGAAAGATGTTCATAGATGGGGAAAGGTGACTGCACAGAAAGCAATAGTAGGCACAAAATGCAACTGAAGGAATAAATTCTGTATGTTAAATTCTCAGCATTTTATGTATTGCATCAAAAAACGACAAAGTCCTTTTAAATGAAAGGTGATGTTTATCTAAACTAGATTAATAAGTAAAACACTTGTTTCTTATAGCTGGGAATATTCAAACAAGATTATTTCTAAATGCTTGAAAAAAGACAAAGTCTATTTGAGATTTTAAATATAAAGATCTACACAGCATTTAAATTACATGATCATAGCATATGAAAGGCAACTTCCAATCCTAACTGGAAAACACTTAACAACTTCAGTTCTGAGTTATATAAAACCTAACCATGAACAAAATTGAACACATTATTTCTTGAAGCAGTTCCTACTCTAAGAATATTTAGATGTCTTAGGTTTTACAATTTTATGTACAGTATTACTATGGAAATCTTCTGTACTATTTTATTGTTCCTCAGAAAGGCATGTTCCCTAACAGCTTTCAAGTAAAAGAAGAAATATTTTAGGAGAAACAATCTAGATTTCACTGATATCACGGATATGACAGAATCATGGAATCAGTAAGGTTGGAAAACACCTCCAAGATCCTCAAGTCCAACCTTTGACCAAACACCATCATGTCGATTAAGTGACATCACTAAGCCTCCAGTTGTTTCTTGAACACTTCTGGTTATGATGCCTCCACCACTCCCCAGGCAGTCCGTTTCAATGCCTGACAACTCTTTCAAGGAAGAAATTCTTCCTGGTATCCAGCTTGAGGCCATTTCCTCTTGACTGACAGTGTTTATTTGGGAGAAGTGACCAACCGCCATCCTGTTACAATGTCCTTTCAAGTGGTTGCAGAGGGCTCCCACTGAGCCCCCTCTCTCCAGCCTCAACACTCCCCAACTCTCTCAGCCACACCTCACAAGACTTACTCTCTAGACCCTTCACCACTTTGTTACCCTTCTCTGGAAAGTAAGGCAGAGCTTAATGCCAAGTATCAGCTGAACCAAACATTCACAAAAATATTACAGGATGTCATCACAGTACCTTGTCTACATGGAAGATTAAATCCAGCTCACAGACATTTTCAAAACATTTGTCAAGTGTTTCCACAAATACCTGCAAAAAGGGAAAAAAAAGCACCAAATCAATCAATCTTAAACAAAAACTCTACAGTTCCATTAGGTGTGAGCTTTGAGAAAAATAAATACAGAAATTAAATACTGGTCAGATCTTAAGGCATTAAAGGCATCTACAGAAATTATGAGGTTAACATTATGTCAAAATATGTTATCTATGTAGAGGACAAAACTGTATGCACAAGCCAATTTAGGTTAAAACTGCTTAAAGGCACACTGTTTTAAAAAACAGATACATCTTGAAAAACCAGTAACATAACCTATACTATAATTTTCTCAGCTGTAATTCAAAGTACTCCTTCACATTTCATTAGAACTCAATTATGAATAAAAAAAAAATTCAGCTTTTCCCATTACTATTTTTAATAATTACTACATTGTAGACATCTCCTAGTTATCCAGACTGCTAGCTCTACTGTCAGAAGCATCCCTTCTAGCAGCAGTACAGCAGCTTTCACCTGACTTAGACACACTGAATAGAGGATAAAAAGGGCATCTGTCTTAAATGTTACACTTCCTGATCCTGTCAGGCATATCACCATATAAAGTTAGAAAAGCCTAGCTCTTTATAAACAGGCAAAGAAGTCCTTTATGAATCCAGAATATAAAAGCATAAAGTAGAAAAATCCAAGCAGTGCTGACCTCCAGCCACTGATGCTCCCTGCCAGACACAGCCTGTACATCACCTTGCTCTAGGTGTTTCTGAAACAGATTCTTTGGCATTTATACTTGTACTTCGGTACACCAAGAGCACCATCCAGAATTAGTCCAGATAATGAAATGATGATTGTACTTGAAGTCCTGAAGTTCCTGAATGCCAATCACCATGTGCTTGTGGTGAGTGCTGTCAAAGACTCCAATCTTAGAGAGCTGTATGCACAGTTCCTTCTGTCCAATGGATAACTCCTATGGACACAGGTTATGTCAAGACCTCTCTAAGTTAAATGTAAGATTGAGCTTAGGGTCTTCAAAGTTAAAAAGAATTTCTGTAAGAATTTATTGATCTTTTATTAATGGCGAGAAAAAAAAATTGCAACTTCTTGGAAATTTTAATCAGGTTTATATGTTTCAAGGCCATTTTGTCACAATATGCATTAAATATTATTTATTAAGATATCACTGTATGCAATTTTTTATTCAATTCTAAACTCAAACATCCTAAAGAAGCAATATGGGAGACAAAAAACTCATTTTGATTCTCTGTTCCACATGATTTCTGAACCCCATCTTAGTATTTGAGAGGCACCAGATTTCAAACTGCCTAGGCCCAGAAAAATAGGAATGAGAAACCATGTCCTGACACAGACCACAGAATTGTTTAGGTTGGAAACCTAAAGATGAATTAGTCGAACAGGTAAGCTAGCACTGCCAAATCCAGCTCTAACCTAAGTCCCTGAGTCTAGGGAGAGCCACATCTAGATGTTTTTAAAACCCTAGGCATGGTGACTCCACCACTTACATGGGCAGCCCATTCCAATGTCTGACAACCCTTTCAGTGTAACTTTTTCTAACAGCCTGTCTAAACCTCCCTTAGCACAAATTGAGGCTGTTTCCTCTTGTCCTATTTCTTCTTTCTTGGGAGAAGAGATTGAAGCATCTCTACAAGCCCCTTTCACATAGCTGTAGAGAAAGATAAGGAACCCTCAGTCCTTCTTTTCTCCAGGTTAACATGCGCAGCTCTCCCAGCCACTCCTTGTAAGACTTCTGCCCCTTCACTGGCTCCACTGACTTTCTCTGGGCTTGCTCCACCCCCTCAATGTGTTTCGAGTATTGAGGAGCCCAAAATTGGACACAGCATTTGAGGCATGGCCTCACAAGTGCCCAGTACAGAGGGACAGTCACTGGCCTCACTATTGCTGATCTAAGCCAAGATGCCATTGGCCTTCCTGGCTGCCTGAGGATAGCTGGCTCATGTTCAGACACTGTCAACCAGCACCACCAGGTCCTTTTCCACTGGGCAGCTTTCCAGCCACTCTGCCCCAGCCTGTAGCACTGAGGGACTTTTGTGACCCAAGGGCATTTGGCTCTGTCGAACGTCATACAATTTGACCTTGGCCCATCACTCTAGCCTGTCTGATTCCCCCCAGCAGATCAACACTTCCACCCAGCAAAAACTCATCTGCAAACTGGATGAAGGAACACTTGAACCCCTCGTCTAGATCACTGATAAAGATATTAAAGAGACCTGGCCCCAATACTGAGCTCTGAGGAATGCCACTGCTGACCAGATGCCATCTGGATATAACCCCAGTCACCTACACTCTTTGTGGATTGAAGTCCTGCTTCTACAGACATTTATTTATATCTACAGACCCAGTGAAACAGATATGCATGACATTAGCCATCTCCAACAGTAGCCATTACCAACAAAGATTACTTTTACATCTTAATCGCTGGTCTTCAGATCCTGCTCACACTGTAAAAGAGAGGACAACCACACCTTGCCCTCACTATTACTACTATTATTGAAGTCTTTAAAATGTTGAAGTCAAACTACAAATTAACTGATGATCCATGAATTTAGAATAAGCACTATTCTTTAATAACAAAATACAAATCTGTCACTTAAACTAGGAACATAGAGCTTATTCAGAGGTAGACTCAAGACAATAAGGTTTGGTGACAAGTTAACTAAGAAAATGAATATGCTTGTGTTAAATTATACTGAAGCTAAGCAAAGCAGGGATCGTTTCTTCAAGCAGTTGTTAATTCATTATGATAATAACAGTTTTCTATACAGAAGAGATGTGAGCAAACGAAAAAACTTGTATGTTAAGCAGAAAAAACTACACATTTGACAACATGTGCAGCCATGTGCAGCAAAACAAATCACCAAAGATATTCTCTTACTTTCCTTGCACCTTAGGAGAATGCAGTTACAAGGACAGTGCTGTTTGATATTAGCTGCAAGAAGAAGATTGGAAACAGTGTAAATGCAACCTTTGTCTAATGGTTTTAGTTACAAGAGCTAAGAGTTTGACACTATTCCTCATAAAAGTCACCAACTTCACACAGGATTCCCACACTCCAACATCTATCTAGTTCCTTGGAAAACAAAGGAACCCATTAAAAACAAAGGCAACTCAAGAATCCTAAAAACATCCCCCCAGATACATATATTGAGCAGCAGCACACATGCTCACACAACAACAACACAAAAGTTTAATTTTTGTGACATTCTTCCAGGTAGATAAAGCTTCTATAGCAACATTTGATTCATTGCTGGAGTGGTTACTTACAAACTTTTCCCTACCACACATCAACCCCCTCACACTAAATAAACTCAAAAATCTCTGCTTACAATGCATGGTCAGTAATGTGCAATGAACATTTTTTAATCTAAGGGAAATCAGCTGGCCTTGACTATTCTTTCACAGAGATTTTTCACTGACTAAAGATTTCCCATGGAAACTTTGGAAATTTCCTCTATCTTCCATTCATTATGGTGAGCTCACAATAATGCCAGAAATGACAAGGTCTACATCTATCATAAATGGTCTTTTAAAACACTGGTCTGCAAGGTAAACTAAATTTTTTACACTAACATTTCTTGACCTCTTTTAAGATGCCTTCAGTAACTAAAATGGTAAATAAAATCAGAGTCACTTCCATCAGAATTTTAATTTAATCATGAACTGCCCACTGTGGCAAGCAGCTCAGATGCTGCAGACCTGTAGATCAATAACCAGAAGAGAAAACACATCAGTTGTTTTGGGACACACACACCCTTCACATACATCAGTTCAGATGCATTTTGTGATGTTACTGAAAGAGTAAACATAAATAAATTAGTGATATAGCAGGAAAATAAGGGTGCATGCACAATTAATTACTAGCTCCCCCTTGTGCTTCATTTTTGAAATTACTATCTTTTATGGTAAAAAGAAAAAAACATGCACAACTCCATGTATATAAACAGATAACATGAAAAAAAAAGGAAAACCTCTATCCTTTCTTTTGTAAGAAATATGCTTTAATAAAGACAGATGCACACTGGCAGCATAAATTATATGAAACAAAATACTAAATTTTTATTGAATATTTGCAAGCCAGGAGCCCCCTCTACTCAGCCATATGTCAAAACATTAAACCATTACAATGAAGGGCTTATTTTTAAAACAAACAAATAAAACAAAAAAGGAATATATCATACATTTGGAGGAAAATAACAAGGGCAGCAGAAAACTCAGAACATCTAAACAATTAAATGTATCTGAGCATGGATAATGTCAAATACGAACAAAAGAAGGTACAAAAGATGAACTAAAAACAACAAGAGTTACTCATACCAAGATTATCCCCTTCTTCTTCCTTAGCATACCAAACAGCAATGGTAAAACTGAGGACAGAAGTAATTCAATCTGCCCATGAAGAGCTCTTATCCCCGTCATATGCCTCTCCGTTTTCTATTTCATTAGCACAAAAGCATCTCTGGTCAGGATACTTTATTGTTAAGAACTGAGGAGAACGTGTTACATAAGCTGCGCTGCTTCCCACGTGCATCTCACTGAACACCATTACACTGAAAGGCTCTATTGAATTTCCCATAGAAGACTGACCTCACAAACTCCGCTGCTTGCTGACTCATGTTTTTGAAGTACAGCAATGGGCCAAGACACTCACAAATTCTTAGAGCTGACACAGGGCTCTAATGTCCATAGGATAGTTAATGTACCACTGTAAACACACATTTCTTCTTTATGGCAGTCTGCAGCTAGTTGCGTTTTCCCAGGTATTTTCCTTCCATCCACTAAAACCTTATGCTTCACAAGCTAACACAAAGATACTAAAACAGCATGACAAGAATTTTTTGTATCCAGAAGACTGTAAAACCTAAGCACTGCAGATACTGATCAATCTCCTAATCCAAGTAAGCAAATATAATAAAAAGAAACTGGTGTTTACATTTAGAAAAAAAAAGGGAAGAAAATGGTCAAAAATAAATAATCTGAATTTGTCTTAGATGTTCAAACAAAGAAATCCAAGCTGAAGATGGTATCAAACCCCAGGCAGGGTCTAGGATTTGTAATACATATAGCACATTCATTAAGCCTGAGTCAAGACTAACCTGTGAAACAGCTCTGGATCTCATGGGGAGATAAGTAGCATTCCTGAAAGTATCCTAAGGATCACAACAAAAACTTTCTGCTGGAAAGAACTGCAGAATGCCATACATAATCTAATCTCCTATATATTTATTCAGTTTGTATGACAAAAATCTCGAAGTTGCTATACTGAGTTCTAGGTTAATTTCACCAGTTTACTTTCCATCATAAACTGGTCCCTTACATATCCACTTGCTTAGACAATTCATTATATGTGTGACTCCTAACAAAGTCCAGATGTCTTACTCTTACCTGTATTATCCCTGAACTACAATAAAAAAAGATGTAGAAAAATGGTTCACTACTTTTCAGGAAAAAATAAAGCTTATCTTCTCAATTAAATATGTGTGTGAATATATTGTTAGTCTACACTGCATGTGGGACTGACAAGTAATAAACTTTCTGAGAGCCCTCTTTCAGTAAAAGATCCATTTAATTCTGACTGCTACTGCTAAGAAGATTAAACAGATCCTTCTTCTAAGCCTGTCTAGAAATTAAAAAGATTTAATTAATCTCTAGACTCTTAACATTTAATATTAATTAATATCAAACATTGAACATTAATCTCTAATACTCTATACTACAATCAAATGGTTGAACTGCAATGATTAAGAAAAATTGGAATCCTCAACAGCTGTAGGTACCGTGGTGAGAACGTATGATTTATAAAAAAAAATCAGACAGGTCAGAAAACCAAAGTATTTCTACAGATGGAAATAGCGTTTTTATTATTTCAGTTTCCTCTAAACAGTTATGTTGACATGTAATTACACACTAAGGCATTTTTGGAAAAAATGTGAAATACAAAGACTAGGAGATTAAAATCTATTGAAATATTTTTGGTACAAGAAGCAAAACATTTTAGAGAAACGCTTAAATTCTGTACTTCAAAAACTTTCGGGGGCTGTATAATTATGAGTAGTAGTAAGCTCAAGAAATGTGCTTCAACACCTGAAATTACTATTTAGGTAGCACTGTCTATGTGAATATACTTCTTTCCTCTGTTCATAAATACTTTGGCACTTCCAAGTAAGTAGACACACTATGCAACAGGCAACTAAGCAACCCTGTACAACAAACTGCTATGAACAAGTACAGCTACTGTGTACCTTGTTAATGCTGCACTGTTCAGATATTGCAGAATGTTCCATGACCAAAGATGATGTAAGAATCCAGAAGAAGAGTTTCCTTCCCTGCTACCCATGCAGGCACTCTTCTGGATCTACTGCCCAGAAGAGCAGCACTGGAACAACTGTTCTGAACAGCAGGAGGTGTCTGTGGGAAGCTGTGCAGCTTCATGAAAGGTCTGCAGGGAATTGTAGGGCTTTAGAGACTCACAGTGCTTCTACAGTGAAATAATTGATACAGTCCCATGTCTCAGGACAGATTTTACTTATGCAGTAAATCAATTCTCTTGATGTGCAAGCTTTTGAAAGGCCTAACAGTAAGTTATACTTACTGTTTTATAAGTATATGTAAATATACATATATGAGATCCATTTTACGGAATGACATAAATCACTTCATGGTGTGAAACTATTTTCTGTTTGAAAATAATGATCATCAGTGAAATTGCTTATTTGCAAGTTTAAAGTTGAAAAAAATCACTGATTTAGTCAGAGGCCTCTTGACCTAGGAGTGTTCATCTTACCAGACATGATATTTGTTACTAAGTTGACAATGACATATTTAGCAGTTTAAATACTGGTCACAGCACCAAGCCTGCCTGAGTTTGAGAAGCATTTGAAAAATGCTTTAAGGTACATGGCATGATTCTTGGGGTGTCCTGGGCAAGGTCAGGAGCTGAACCCAATGGTCCTTATGGGTCCCTGTGTTGGAAGGAAATCATACCTGGAAGCCTTGCAGAAGACATTATATTTGAGAAGTCAGTGATCTTGAACAGGCCCTGTCTGCTCTACTGGGCTGAGCAGCCTGGATCTTCTTAATATAATCTATAACCTATGATGTCCTTGGCAAAAATGAACTGTAGGAATGGATTGTACTGATTCTGACCAAGAGACTGTTGCATGTTTAGGGGTTAGTCATCCACATAACACAACCTGAAGAGACACAGAGGACTGTGCTGTGCTGCAGAAATTCCTTGGCTAAGGGATAAACTCAGCCAGCTCACTGCAACAGAGGAGCCTGCAAGCAGCTCCCACATGGTACCAGTGAACATGCCACCTGCATGGCCTAACCATGACCTCAAATTGCAGTAGGAAGTTCTCCTGAAAATATTCTTCAGCAAAAGTTGTTTTCCTGTGAGGAAATTATATAACAGCTCAAAGAATCAAAAAAAGAAGAGCTTCTCTCCATAGGATCTGCCCTGCCCTGCGCACTGTGGGAAAATCCATCTGGTCTCCATTGGGTGTTACATAAAGGTGGCCAGCACCTGAAGGGGTTTAAGATTTACCATCTACATTCATCTTCTTACTCTGCTCTATTAAGCAGTTATCTTATCAAACCATTTGTGCTGTTGAGCCTTTCTTACTGAGATAAAGAACCTAGGCTTAAGGATCTTCTCCCTCCTGACCAATCCCCACCCTACTCATCCCAAATTCCCTGGTGCAGAACACATACCTAGGGGAGCATTTGCCCTTCTTTTTTAAGGCATACCTGTCAAAAGATCATAAGCCACAAGGAAAATTTAATCCAAAGATGTTTTGGACATATTTATGTATTATATATTTATAGTGAATACAGATATACACACATGCATGTGTGTGTGAGTCTGGGTATATATTAATATACATAAAAATATATATATACACATACAGAGCATTGCCTGTCAAAGTTCTCATAATCTACATTTGTACAGCCAATGTTTGAACTTTGCCATTATTACCTGCAGCCAAAAGAGGTCTCGAAAAGCTAAAATAAAAAATAGTTTTTGTTCAGGAGGCTCCACATAGTTTCCTCACTTTCCTGTCAACTTGATAAATGACTATTTCAAAGACAGTCCAGAAAACTACAAACAATCTGAAAATAATACTCAGCATTTTTCAGTATGTTCACAGTATAAAATCAACCTTCCAAATACTTCCAAAAAAATGCAAGCAAAATATTTAATTTCTAAGATACTTCAAAGTTGAATTACAGTTATTTAGAATAAAAATAAATAAAAAACAAAAACAAAAAAACCCACAAAGCAGCAAAAAGAACTTACTTGTATGAGGTCTAAAATACCAAGCTCACTTTCTGAGGAATCCACACAGAAGACAAAATACAAGGTGGCATAGTGTCGATAAATTAGTTTGTTATCGGATCCACCTATTAATCTAAAGAGGAAATAAAACAAGGAAAGCTTAGGTAGTATCTCAGGATAAGCTTAGCAAAGCCTCAGTTATTCCAGTTAATAGGAGGCTTACTATTAACAGCTGGAGTTCTCCCAAATCCAACTATACTGCAACTTCTATTTTGTGATATAATTCCAATGGAAAATTAAGTAACAAGACAGACCAATTTACATTTACCACACAAGAAAAAGTTATTGTTATCCATATGGATAAAAATTACATCAACCTGCACAGCTTTTTATTAAAATCTATTCAAACAGATCACAAAAAAGCAGATATTAAATGTACTTCCATTCCACACTAGCAGGAAGGCACTGCACAGGGATTAATCTGCTTTACAGATTAACGGTGTATATCTATGAATCCTTCCCTCACCTTCTCAGAGGAGCATCAGGAGGAAAAAAAACTGTAATGAAGAATGGCATTTGGATTACAGAAAAAGCCTTAAATTAGGTTTATGATCCATTTAATAACCAAGAACATGTAACAATCATGCTAACACTCATGATATCTTGAGAAGTAGGACCATACTTCAAGCAATAGTTTATGATGCAATGTTACAGTCACAGAAGCTCACATTAGGACTCACTAATCATGGCACTGAATGAGAAGAGTCTAAAGAGGTAGCTTCTTCCACTCTTCTGCTATGGCTTTCCAAAAAACGGCACATAAAGCACAGGAGATCTACATTAGATCACTGACATTTGCTTTGAGTTATAAAACAACTGTTCTTACAGAAACAAAAATATTTTTTAGGTTGAACCTACATGGACATGACTATAGCAATTTTCCCTTAATTCTGGACCATAACTGAATCACCCATTTGGTGCACTATAACTCATCCCTTTAGTTTCTGTATTTATCACAGGGTAGGAATACACAACAAATAAATAAATAAATAAATAAATAAACAAACAAACAAACAGACAAACAAACAAACTTTTAAGGTCACTTCTGCTTAAGCATTGTGCTCTGCATTTATGCTTTGCAGAGAGCAGGAATGGGGGTAGGGAAGAGGAACCCTTTGTTTCTGAAGAGTAGGAATTGCATTTATCAGAAAACACTATAACGAGCAAATAGGACAGTGGAAAGACATGGCAATTAAGGTTTCTTCTTTTGTGATCTATTTATCCAATTCTTTCAGATACTTCATACTTGAAGTACACATAGTTCTACACATAAACTGTTGAGGCCTTTGGATAAAACACAAACTATAAAGAGAACCCTGTCCTGAAAAAAAAAATACTGAAAAAAATTCCACCGAGTAGTAGGATTGTGTTCTCTGTCTCAGTTTATTCTTGTTAAGCAGCTGTGATTTTTTAAAAAGCTCCAAATATCTTCTGCCTTTCACTTACAGAATTCAAGCTAGAATGTTCCCAACCTGAGATCATCTCCAAGTACCTAATGATAGAATCACCAGTTCAGGAGTCAGAAAAGAATAATTTAAATTTAAAAAACAGTAATGAAAGGAATCCAGAATCATTTTGATGAGGAAATAAGACATCCTAGCTGATACGGTACAGCTAAGCATTTAATTGACTCTGTACACAGAGAATCTAGCTGTTAGCAGACCAACTTTCACTAACCAGAAATTCCCATAAATATAATAATTAACAGACTATAACAATCTCTATGTCATAGACTGGAGATCATGAGCTCATTCCATCATTTCCAACCTGTTCTTCTAGAAAGTGGCTTTTTAACTATTAACTCTTGATGGCTAATAAATTCTTCAAACACACCTCCATTTCAGAATTTCTTCAGCTAAAGCAAGATGACGTTCAAAAACAATGAAGGTGCAAAAAATACTACTTTGTGTATTACAGAGACACATAAGTCTCGCTTTCCTCCTACCCTGTTTTTCCTTTATTAATAAAATATCTTGGTCGAAACTGTAATAGCACTTTTAAAACCTATTTTTTTTCTTCCTAGTTCATACATCAAGTGCAAATCCTGATAAAAAGGCTGTCTGCTCAAATTTTAGGAGTTCAAGCCAAATAACAGCTCCAAAGTATTTAATTTTCTACTACTGATTTTTCTACAGATTTTTTCTACTGATTTTCTAGAGATTTTTCTCAGTTGGTCAGAGCATGGTGGTAAAAACACCAAAGCTGGGCTGTGGATTCCTGTATGGGCCATTCACTTCAGAGACCTTGTGGGTCCCTTCAGAATATTCTGTGATTCAGTGGGTACAGAAAATGCCAATGCCTCTTAAAATGTGACCAGAAATCTTTAGCTTGATTATCGCAAAACAACATATGCCTGTTCCTTCCCCATCTTTGTATCTGAAACAATCATGGCACAAGATACGGCACTGTGACCGTTTCACACATCTTGTGCCACAAGGATGTAAAAAAAAATAAAATTATAGCCTAAGACATTTTGGTACATATAAGCTATGATTCATTAGTGAAGAATACGTACACCTGGTGCAGAATATAATTCCTTGTGTGTCAACAAATCTCAAATGACATGGCATTTACATAATAGCTGTGAAAAATTGTAGTATCAGAAGTACTAATACTTGAAAGTCAGTATTGGGCATTTATTTCAAACTTGATACTTACAGTCCTCCTTCTAGAAAATTACAGACATTTTCATCACGTTTCGATACTAAATGGAAAGTTTCTCTGATAATTTGTTGCTGCGTGTCTTCACTCTGTGAAAGAAAATACACTTTGTTAAAAAGCACTGACAGTGCACAGCACACAAGATTGTAAAACTTTAAGCATATCAGCACCCTCAAACTACCTGCTTCTGAAGCCTCAAATCCACCAGTTAACATCTAACACTTGTGTCATTTCAACACAAAAGGCCATCATTTACAAGTTGAAAAGTGATCTTTTAAAGGAACTTCTGTAAAAAAAATTAACCTAAAAATAGTTTTTTTTAAGTAAACCAGAAGTGTTCTCAAGTAGCTTGATTTTTTTTTATTGTCAATGTAGCCTAAACAGCTACAGGCATGCTTTGAAACTAGTTTTACCCATAAACAATGAGTAAAATGAAGTCCTGAAAGCTTGAAGGTATTAGGGAAGCTACAAATCCCACAATATGTAACACTTCCAGACACTGCTTAAAATACAAGGGCACAATGAGCAGCAGGTTCTCCTAGGCTATAACCTTAACTCTTAGCAGATCAGAAGCACCACTTCTGAGAATAAATTCTTCTGGCGCTTCAGAAACTTAATTTTTAACTTTGAAATTATGGCCACAGGTCTATATTCTGAAAGACAAAATGATGACATATATTTTAATAGCCATAAATGATTCATTTTCTACCTAACTGCAAAATATTATTAACTTCATTTTATGCAGTTTCCATTCTCATATATATCAGCTAAAAGTCAGACCCATTTTATAAGCATTAGTATTATGAAAGAAATAAATACCTCCTTCACAGATCTGAAAAAAATTAATCTCTCTAGAAAACAGGACATGCATCCCCTCGTAGAAAAAAGCTGAGAGATTTGCCTCCAGTACTGCTTCAATTGACACTAAAGAATGCATAAGCTTAAAAAGGTCTACAAACAAATCGGTGTTATTGATATCATACATAAAAATACAGTCTATACAAATGCACATGTTTCTGTGCAGCAGAAAGTTTCTTAGTTTAATTTGCTATTCACATTTTCAAAAGTTCAAAGCATTCTGTTTATATAAACATGTTACCCTACATTAAGCATTGAGAATTTGTTGCAAGTCCTGTTATGAAACTAGTACATCAGAACGATTTTACAAGAAAAATCTGGTATCCTCTGGCCATTTACTCCTCTCCTTCCCCTTTCAGTCACACATAAGACGGAGCTGTATCACTTACACTCGTCTAATTCAAAACCTGGCTGTGCAAACTACAGTGTCAGAGTCATCATTTCTGCTCTGAGGTGTGCAAGTAAGGTACATCCCTTCCAATGAGCTCTGAGTCCTGTAATAGCCAGAACTGCAAGAAACGGGACACAAATCCAAATAACTGCACTGCTAGAAAAAGTTATTAGCTTAAATAACTTTAAGAAATACCAATCGTTTCCTCGTATTTTAATGCCCAAGCAGACCCCAGCAGATCTGCTGGGAAATAGACTACGTTCAAAACATTATCTTAAAATCTCTTATCCTTGAACTAAATCACGAGTTTCCACTGCACTTTCCATTCAGATTGAACGCTTCTGCTGCATTCTCAGAGCTGCTTTGCTGCTTGCTTCCTACCATGTAAAAGAATGCTCTTTTCTACTTCGCTACGTTTTCACATCAACTGCTATTTCATAGCACCCTATAACTTTCCAAAATAAAAGGTTCTGCTTAAGAACTCCTCTGCCCCACTCTGCCCAGCCCTGCCGTAGCACAGACACGCAGCACCGAGCCGGACAGCGGAGCTGAGAGCAGCCCGTCCACACGACAACTCGGGAGAGCCAAGCCTGCCGCTGGACAAGTTTCCCTCCCTCCTTCACCTTCGGAGCTCCTAAAAAGCAAATCCCAGCGAAAACAACATCGACTTTCTTCGAAGCCTCACGTACACGGTCTCAGCACCACCCCTTTTCCCACAGCGGTGCCCTAGCCCCGGCGCAGCCGGCAGGGCCAGGCCGGGGGCCCTCGCGTACAACCCCGCCGCCCGGCCATCGCA